AGAGGCCAGAGAGCGCGGCGCCCCCGTCTTAAAGGCACTTAAGGGTAGCAAGCGGAGTGTTACCTGGACCGCTGAGTGTGACGAAGCTTTCAACGAGCTGAAGGCGTATATGGGCCGAGCCCCTTTATTGTCAACACCTGAGCCTGGAGACACCCTCATGATCTATCTCTCCGTCTCGGCTACAGCGGTCAGTTCTGTGCTCATCCAGACAAAAAACGGTGCTGAGCACCCAGTGCATTACGTCAGCAAAACGTTACAGGACGCCGAGGTTCGGTACCCTGACATCGAGAAATTGGCATTCGCCCTGGTGGTCTCAGCTCGGCGCCTCAGTCCGTACTTTCAGGCTCATACCATTCATGTCTTAACAAATCAACCATTTCGGCAAGTGTTGCAGAAGCCGGAGACTTCTGGGAGACTAGTCAAGTGGGCCATTGAGCTTGGTGAATTCGATATCCACTACAAACCCCGCCCAGCCACGAAGGGCCAGGCTGTGGCTGACTTTATATCTGAATTCACCGAACCCCATGCCGTGGCCAGTCCACAGATTACGATGGAGCCCACTCCTACCTCGAGCCCGGTCCACGTCGCCAGCAACGGCACCCTAGACATAACACAGCCCTTATGGACTTTGTATGTGGATGGCTCTTCCAACGCCCAGGGATGCGGAGCTGGCCTTGTTCTCATCTCTCCAGACAAGGTTGTCCTGGAGTACGCCCTTCAATTCCAATTCCACGCCTCCAACAATGAGGCCGAATACGAAGCACTCTTAGCTGGCCTCCGGTTAGCCAAGGAGATGGGCGCTAGGCAAATTCAGATTTTCAGCGACTCACAGCTCGTTGTGCACCAAGTCAACCAGGACTTCACTGCCAAGGACGTGTCCATGACAGCCTACCTCCAACATACACGCCATCTGCTTGCAACCTTCAATGCTTACCTCATAAACCAGGTACCACGCTCGGAGAATAGCCACGCCGATGCCCTAGCTAGACTCGCCTCAGCCATAGAGTAGGGCCTTGGCCGCAATATCCACATGGAAATCTTGGATCAGCCAAGCACACGGACACCACTCGTCTACAAAAATCTTTCGAAAAACTCAAGTGCTCATTCCTTCAGCCCTCCACAATCTTTTAAAGGCATACGAAGGACCCTTCTATTCTTGCTCCAAGCAATAACTCATCATACCGTTGGGATGCCTCGATTTCCACGCTCAGACGTTTCTATACCACTGTCACACCTTCCCTTCGGAAGGCATGATGACGTCACACCTTCCCTTCGGAAGGCTCCCTTCCGAAGCTTGGAAG